ATTTCCCTCCCTTTTGCCTGATCTCTCTTCTCTTTGCTTCACTTCGCAGCCCAACAGCTCCAGAAGAAGCACTCCCGCTCCGTCTCAGATCTGAGCGATCCATCCACTCCTCGATTCCGTGACGACTCTCGCACTCCTTTTTCGTATGCCCAAGTCATCCCCTTCACTTTGTTTGAGCTTGAGACCATCACCAAGAGCTTCCGCCCCGACTATATCCTCGGAGAAGGCGGCTTCGGCACCGTCTACAAGGGCTACATTGATGACAATCTCCGCGTTGGCCTCAAGTCTCTCCCTGTAGCCGTCAAGGTCCTCAACAAGGAAGGCCTTCAGGGCCACCGTGAATGGCTTACCGAGGTCAACTTCCTAGGTCAGCTCCGTCATCCTAACCTCGTGAAGCTTATTGGTTACTGCTGCGAGGACGATCACCGATTGCTTGTTTATGAGTTCATGCTGCGAGGCAGCCTTGAGAATCACCTCTTCCGAAGTAATCCCCCCGCACCACCCTTGTCCATTTATATTCTTGTCTAGTATATAAGTCGACCATACGGATGAGCAAACTACACATCTATTATCATAAATTTCTGTTTTGTACTCTGGCCATGCTCGTCTACAATTAACCAAGTCGCCATTGTCTCTCTCTTCAGAAACCACAGCTCCGCTATCTTGGTCTAGAAGGATGATGATTGCTCTTGGAGCTGCGAAAGGGCTTGCTTTCCTCCACAACGCTGAAAGGCCAGTTATTTATCGGGACTTTAAGACCTCCAATATACTGCTTGACTCGGTAGCTAGTTATTCTTTTCTTTTAGTGCTGCAAATGTTCCTCCAAGATGTTGGGAATGCCTTTCCACAACTAATATATATCTTTGCTTGGGCTGAACCTGCAGGACTACACAGCCAAGCTTTCAGATTTTGGTTTAGCTAAAGCAGGGCCCCAGGGTGATGAAACCCATGTATCAACTCGAGTGATGGGTACTTATGGCTATGCTGCTCCAGAATATGTCATGACTGGTATGGCATACATTATATCCCCTGCATACACATTCTAGACGATCTAGCTCCTGCAATGTTTTATTTTAACTCGGTTTGTGATGAGAGTGATAATCAACTGTTTATCTAGGTCCTCCCGTTTTAAAATATGCTAGTTGTTAACTGAATGTGGGAGCTCGCTTCAAGTGTTTCAACTTATCTTCCCGTTTCAACTAGTTGAGATAGTAGCTTGTATTAATTAACATATTGAACTGTGGCGTTTGACATGCTGAACCATGCTTCTATATGCACTTCTGTTTCACTACATTTATTTGGAGCAACAGTCTCTCTTTTTGCCTCGTAATAAGTACTTAAACCATTACACAGATACACACTGACTTGACTCTGTTACTAATGAACAAGGACACCTGACGGCCAGAAGTGATGTGTACAGCTTTGGAGTTGTTCTTCTGGAGATGTTGACAGGAAGAAAATCAGTGGACAAGACAAAACCTAGCAAAGAGCAGAACCTGGTTGATTGGGCTCGGCCGAAGCTGAATGATAAAAGAAAACTGCTGCAAATAATTGACCCGAGGCTGGAGAACCAATACTCTATCAGGGCAGCTCAGAAGGCATGCAGCCTGGCATATTATTGTCTTAGCCAGAACCCGAAAGCTAGGCCTTTGATGAGTGATGTGGTTGAGACTTTGGAACCTTTGCAGTGTACAGGTGATCCCCTGATCCCTGGTGCAACAACTGCAGCTGGAGCTGCGTTTGCAATGGGAGGGGTGCCTGATTACAGAATGCACCGGAGGTTTGCAAAGAACGTTGGGCCTGGTGCCGTTTGCAGGTCACCCAATCCAAATTGTTCACCGGGTGGACCTGCAGCATGCAGAGTGCGGTGACTAGTGTCAAGTGTACATAGTCGGTTTGATGTGTCTCCTTTTGCGTAATTTTTCTCTGAGCCCAAACGTCTGGTTGCTAAAAATCATGGATGCGGTTTGCTTCAC